ATTTCTAAGTGGAACTTATAATTCCTTAGATTAAAATTATTCCGACATTTTCTTCGATTATAAATGAATCGAAGAAAAAAATCGTATTTATTCGAGGATATTAAATATTTTTCGGTCACGTGTTCGATCAGTTAAATATACACGTGGATCTCAATGGAACATACTTTATTGCATTCGAAAAAATATTTGGAAAAACTGATAGATTATTTCCGTTGGATTGTAATCTGTTTATAAAAAAAAAAAAAAAAAAAAAAAAAAAAAAAAAAAAAAAAAAAAAGAAAGAAAGAAAGAAACAATGTAGAATAAATTTAAAAATTTCCATGGTAAAATTTATATCTCCGTAAAAATAAGTTCTCTATCGACTTTATCGCTTTGTCAAAGCAAACATCCGCGATATGATGGCCCAGCAAAGTGTATTTTTTCAATAGAAAGAACGAGCAAACAGATCTTAAACGTAATGAGCTTTCGTAGAGTCAATGTATAGAATAATTGTACCATTCGACTCGCATACAAAAGATATGCATTTCGATAATTGGACGTTTCTTAGTATCCAACGTTTACATATTTGATCGTTACAATTTTTTCCAATGAAAAAATTGTGAAATCGATAATTCATATCGCAATGGAAGAGGAATGAATGAAAAATTTGAATAATAACCGGTGAATCAAAAATGATACGAAACGTAAATTAAGAAAATAAAGTGATGGTCTTCCAATTACTGGAATTAATATATCTTGTCTCCTTCTTTCGAACACGAAATATTATCATGAATTTTTTTTTTTTTTTTTTTTGTATCAAAAAGCTTACACTCTGTCTGCTGTTTAAAAAAGATGAGAAATCTCGACTTGTTGGAACAAAGACAAGCTAAAAATTGCGTCGACTATTTTTAACGAGGAAAGTTATATTATGAATCATGAAAGTTGAAATAAACAGTTCGAGAGAGAGAGAGAACTTTTTTCCTCTTCTCTTTTTCCCTTCTATCATTTTATCAAATAAATACCTGACAATAGAGATATAGAAAAATGTATAGATAATGTGGATGCATAGCGAAACGAGACGTTCGTTGCGTCATTCATTCGAAAGAAGCGATAATTACAATTGACGCATGTATATGTATTTTCTGCGAGTGCGCTTTTTAATTCGTAATTATCCTTCGAATCGACGATTACTTCATTAATGTTCGTCTCTCGCACGAGACAAACGTTTAAATGATATTCTGCCTTGAACGAAAAAAAGAAAAAAAAGAAAGGAAAAACACAAAGAAAGATATCAATGAAGGAGCAAACGTAAACAGTTTAATTTCGTATTGATTATTTCATTAATTACCAGATAAATTAAATTTGTAATCAAGTAACATTGCGCGATGGAATATTTTGACCAATTATTTTAGATATTTAAAAAAATAAAAATGATTTATTGCGCGAATCTCAAATTTAACTTTAATTTAATTCTAAGCAAATGTTTATTTCTTCAAAAATTCAATTATTCCTATACATTATTATTATTACATGAAAATAAATTGACGTTCGAAGAAAAACACGATTCTAATGGTACATCGCAAGGGATTAAAATTTTCTACTACACAACGTCAACATTCTAAAATTCTCAACATCGTTCAAAGATCGATCGACTGTCCATCCTCAAGATTATCCGAAAACTAAATTTCCTTATGGAAATGATACTTCTTCGAATTGTCGAGTCACAAATTCCATCCATTAAATCGTGTTCTAAAATGAATCATCCAAAAATCTCTTAAAATCCCCTACGAATCGAACAACAATCGACATGCAAAACACTTGACCCAAAATTTGCGCGTCGACTCTCGATCTTTCTCGAGTACACGTGCTCCATCACGTACAATCCCACGTAATACCGACATATACGTTACGTTCAATTCACGTCACGGATTCATTTCGCGTTAACTGGATCTCGGCTTCGAATTCGCGGAGATACAGGAATGGCGCTTCACGGCCACGAATGTGGTGATCGGGGTCACGCGATTCGATGCGATCTGAATGAGAAAATGGTCGTTCGATTGAACGTGATCGATCCTCTTATCTCGTTCCGGTGGCTCGTAACAATAAGAGAGGAGAATAGACGCCAATTCCAGCCCATGAACGCACCGCGAGGTATCGAGCGGAATGTTTCCCCATTTGTTCCTTTCCTCGATGTGGCGCACATGCTCGATCGCCGGTGCACAAGCGCCACACGCGGATTCAGCGTGTACGGAAATTGTCACGTTGCATGGAAATTTACGCTCGCCGATTTCTTCTTCTCTGGTTGGAATATGCTCTTTGTTGATGATCGATGCCGGTCGCGTATCCACGAATAGAATTAGGCGACACGTTTCAAAGATTCTCTTCGGAGAATCGATTGCAGAGCGAATATCGAATTAGGTAAGATTCTTCGGGGATTTTTTTTGGGAGGGGAGGAGGGAACGTAGAGACAAAGTGAAAGTAAAAAGGAAGCAAAGTAGAAGATTCTGAGTCATCTGGAGATTCCTGTTCGGTAATTCCCCGTCTAAATACCATTGGGTTGATCTGCCAGGTTTTAATCTTTCTCGAATGATTGACGACGCGTAATCGAAATTGTTTCGAACATTTGTTAACATTTTTCCTTCGAAGATGTATATCTACGTTTGAGGAAGAACGTAACTGCGTTGCTTGATAATTCTAGGAATGAAGTACCAAATTTATTTCGACCGTTATTATAGTATAACGATGCAACGAATTAAAGTCCAGTGAGGTTTTTAATTGGTTAATAGAAGACACTTGATTGCAACGATATACTTGAACGATACAATTGCGATACAAGTATAACCACTTCAAAAACGTTATAGGACAATATTTTCTTTGCCTCTTCATACAAGGATAATTTGAGTCAATAAAAATTCTAGTTGCGCGTTATAAATCGAATGGAAAATTTTTTCGATGATTCGTACAGTATTTTTCGATAACATTCATCCAACTATATTGATCCTTGCGGAAAACTCGTCAATTGAGAAAACAAATTTTCTCTCTCTGATTAATTATACGATTAATTACGAGCTATGATAGATTGCGATCCTGAATAGTGATATATATAATGATACATTATCGCCCAACACTATATAATGATAATTCATCGATTTTTGTTTAGTCTTCTTTCAACAATTCGTTCAAAGAGGTAAAACGATTTTTCGATCAAATTTCGCAGAATTGATACTCGATTAACCTTCACATCACATTTTCTATCTTTTTACAATTAAAGGCAATACGATAAGGATAAATTTATTTCTGACAATTATTTAAGTTATTATATATAATGTAGATAGCTAGAAAAAAATTCTACTTCCTATGATTTAAGTTAAATACAAACATCGATAAAAAATAAATGATTTGCCACAAAAATCACATCGTTTAGATTGCATTAGATTGAACGGATTGTTACATTTTTATTTCCAATAAAAATGTTTTTTTCTTTCCTTCTTTTTTTTATTGTCATGGAAGATCGCAATTTTCATGCGAATTTTTGTGTATTTACAAATTAACGTTTTATTTGAATCGCTTGTGAATTGCGGAATGTTTTGTATTTTTATTTTTAAATATCTTTAATATTTATTGTTATTATTATTATGAATTCATAAGTCGAAATAAATAAATGTACGCAACGTGCAACAATAAAAAAGTGTTAAGTACGATATATAATATAGACAATCAATATTTTTTTCAACTTTTCGTTGCGATTATTTGAAGTATTTGCACAGACAAAGTTACGTGGATTAACGGGACGATTGTCGAGTGCTTGAATGTTCGAGTTACATCGAATATCCGACTTTGTCGAGTATTTAAAACAATCTTGATCAAAAAAATGGAATTACACGTGAGATTTTTAATAGCGACATTGAATTTCTTTTTACCGACTTTTATTATAATTGCGTTTTAATTACGACGAAAATTACTCGTCTTGACGATCGCTATACAAAAATATACGTTCGCGATTTCGTTGATTAATAATAATTTTTGAATAATTACGAAGGAAATGGAAGAATGACTTTACAACAGAAAAGAATAATTAAAAATGGATGATCAAATATAAATTTAATATCTAACGTGTAACATATAAAATAATTAAACGTAAGAAATGGAGGAAACACGATTCGGTTCTTCGTTTATTCGTTTTCGAATATAATTCTACTTTAATAGAATTACGTTATTACATATATGGTTTTATTCCAAATAAATTTTATTTCATTTTTATCACAATGTAAAAATGTTTGTTGTCATGTATATAGTAATAATATATTAAATAATCAATGAATGAAGGGATCAAATTCGTTTTTGACAAAAAGTGGCATTATCAAGATTCATGAAAGCAATGTCAATTAATCGATGTGATTGTGATAAAAAATATAATAATAAAAGGGAGAGGGGAAAGCGAGAGAGAGATAAGTACGACAAATTACGCCTCGATCAAATCGTCGATAATCTCGATTGCTATCGCAATTATCGGCACGAGACACTTATCCTGTAATCAACACATTCTCGAGAAATCGATAAAAATAAAAATAAAAAAAAAAACAAGAACGATGGTAACTAGAATGCAACGAGGAATCTTTCCATTATGATACGTGATCGAGATAATGCTCCACTCGTGATAATGATATCGGGTACAAATACATTCCGTGGGACTTTACGAATATTACGAAATGGAACGATCGAAAAACGAGAAACTATGCCTATTTTCCTCTCGTTCGAATGCAAATTTATCTTTCTAATTGATTTCGACGAATGAGAACAAATTGATTACGAGGAGAAAAAGATTAAAAATTAAATATCGGTGATCAGGATAAAGAGATGTGCGATAAATGCATATATGTAGCAATAATCGTGAAAATTTCAAGAAATGCTTTTGAAGAGATGTCGAATATCGATGATGCGGAAAAATGAAAGTTTTCATGGATGTTGACGTTTTGATGAAATAAAAATTATTGTCCTGAAACGAACGAATAGCATTTCGATGTGATCAAAAGTATATTCGATTACACTTACAATTACAATTACAAAAACATGGATTTCGTTTGAACACATCTGGAGCATCTTTCGTTTGTTCCAACAGCGATCATTCGATCGGTAAAATAATTAAAACAAGAATTCGTGAAATAAATCTCCATATCGCAATCTTGTCGATACGCTTTTTTCGATGGAATAATAAAAAGAAAGTAGGTCACAGTCGTTGGCGATCGGTAAAAAAAGATCAATGATAATGGAATGATGTGATATCGCGATGATATTGTAAAAAAAAAAAAAAAAATGAAGACATGGAGAAAGGTTAAATATCCTTCTAACGTTAAAATCATGATCGATGACATTTAAAGCTTTCATTTAAATGGGGATATCGACAGTGCCTTGAAGTTCTTTGTAAATCTCCTGATAAGTTTTCCCTTTGGTTTCTGGGACTAGCATATGCGTGAATATCGTGGCAGCAGCCATGATCGCGGCGAAAATCCAGAAGGTCATATCTGTTCCTAGCTCGTCGTTCATCGTGGGGAACATTTTAGTCACGACGAATACCATAAACCAGTTCAACATGACCGCAACACTGGAGGCGACTGCTTTCGTTTCAGCGGAGAACAGTTCACCCATTAACATCCATGGCACTGGACCCAATCTAGGGAAAAAAAGAATTTCGTTAGAATTCGATAGAAAATGAAAAATTTTTCATTTGGAGAATTTATACACAAATCTAGAACTGAATTTTAAAAATATGAATAACATTTGAAAGTACTTCGATTAAATTTTCCACCTTTCTACTAAACTTTCCATAAAATATTCGGATTCGATTCGAATTCCTTCAAATTAGAGATCGATGTAGAACAAAGAAACATACTATTGTTTCCATTTTCGCTCGTTACTCGTTACCTATGATTCAACTTACCCAATGGAAAAGGCGATCATAAAGACGATCAAGGAAGTCAATGGTAACCAGCCAAGCGAAGTGACATCATTTCCGCTATCTTTCTGCTTGAAGTAATATCCAAGCGCGATCAAACTGACTGACATAACACCGGTGGAAATCATGAGCAGCGGCTTCCTTCCTGCTCGATCAACAATCAACGCCGCGACACCTGACATTACCAACTGCACAACAATTTATAGCATAAATGTCTCTCACGAACGAATTGTTTTGTTAATTCGCGTAGCTAAAACGCAATTTGAAAAAAAAACAATTGAACGACTTTGATTGTCCGTTTGAGAAAACAAATATTTTCATTGCAAATAAAGAAAGATTTCCTAAGATTTGCTAATAATTTGCTAATTTTAATATCTACATAAATTAATAATAAATTATTGGAGCATGATATTTATTAATGCGAAAAAATTAATCGAGAAAGATAAGAAGTCAAACCTGAACCAGTGCAACGAAGATAGACGCCAGTTCCGGTGGCATTGAACTTCCGGATGCTTTGAAGATCATCACGGTATAAAAGATCACGGCGTTCACTCCGGAAGCTTGTTGGAAAAACATCATTCCGAAGGATGCGATCATGGCCTTCTGGTTGACCGGAATTTTTGCCATTTCAAAGATGTTGGGCTTCCGGCCGGAACTCGCGTCCGCCGCCATTTGCAATTCGTTCAGTTCCTGTTTAGGATCGTAATCTTTTCCTCTTAACGCCGACAACGCCACAGTGGCATCTTGCTTTCTGTTTTGACCCTAGATGTTTACGATAGATTATTAAAAGATAATTAATTGAAGAACTCGTAAAAAGTTCTCGTACTCACCACCAACCAGACGGGAGATTCGGGCATCCAATAGAAGGTAATCAAGAAGAGGAGAATGATGAGGACGCATACAAGGGCGAATAAAGTATAATTAAGAACGCTTCCGAGAATAAAAGAGACAAAAATTCCAACGGTGAGGAACAATTGGAAGAGCGCACCCAAGGTTCCCCTGGTCGAGACTTCGGCGATTTCGGAGATGTACGTGGGACCAAGGACGCATCCTGCTCCAACACCAAGACCAACCAAGAATCTGGCGATATAGAGAAGCTTGACTTGCGTTGCAACCAGAATAATTCCCCACGACAAGAGGAATGGAACGGCCAGCAAAAGAAGAGATTTTTTCCGCCCCATTTTATCCGCCATCGATCCTGATGGAATAGCACCACAAATGGCTCCAACAGCGAGTAAAGAGCTGATCCAGGAACCTTCTTCCTGAGTGATTACCAACCATGAATCGGCTGCGTAGAGCTGAGGAAGCACCGGTGAAGTCCATGCCAAGGCTGAACCGACTCCAACCACCAAAAAACAAGCTAGAAAATGAGAGTTGAATTAGGACGACTGAAGAAAAAATCAGTTATTTTTCATATTATCGAAAAGCGTGATTATAAATTAGGTAAAGAAGGAAAATTAAGCTTAATGATACAATTTTTAATTTTAGTATTCGTTTCTTTTAACGATTTAATATTTGTACGTGAATTTATTAATTTCGTAATCGATTAAATAATTAATTGATTATCTAATAATGATAAATATTTCTTAATCATTCGTGTTACACTTAAATTCAATTACAAAATTGCGTCACAATAATGTGAGATAACATAAAAATTCGTAATCGTATCGAAAATGAAAAGATAATCTTTGAATATGTGTGGAATAAAACAACGTGGTATATTTATTATATAACATATAATTGATAAATAATGTTGCAACATGATTGGTCGATGAGAAAAAGATATTATTCCGATTTAGTTAATTTTGAACAAATGATTTAAACCAAAACGCATTTCTTAATTCTGTGAATGAGAATATTTTTTTATAATTTGTCAATAATTGTGTAATTTTTCTTACGAATTTTCTAATAAAATTTCTAATTTTATTAAACGAAAGAAAACGAAAGTAAAATAATATATTAAATTAAAAAATAATAGATAACTGGAAGCAAAATTTAAAGAACTATAAATCTCTTAAATCTTCAATTTTTCAATAAATTCAATAGTAATTATTCTCTCTCACTCAAAAATTTAAAAAAAACTAGTAAATTGCAAGGGATAAACTCGAAAAAAACGAAGACAGAAATAATGGAAAGATATCGAAAATGGTTTATCGCGTGTTGAGCGTCTTCGTGGAAATACCGGAAATAGAAGCAAGGTATTGCCACAGCTTCCTGCTCTCCTGGCGGACAGCCGCGTCATTAATCATCCCCGTGCCTTCCATTTCCTCGAAATTAGCGAGCATCCACTCGAATAACGTGTCTGCACTCGGAGAACGCCAACTACCACGATGGGATCAAGACGATTTCTCAAAGAAAATCAATGATTCCGACAATCGATCGTTCCTTGGACCGATTCAAATCGTAATCGATCACGAGTTGCTCCTATACGACGAATCGCGTCGAATCGAGTTTTCTCACCACGAGCACCGTTTGTCAAATCTCGGATCGACGAACACTTTAGGTGAACCGCATATTTCGGATAAAGCAAACCCGATCGAGTGAAACAAAATGGAAGTGATTACGGCGAGGACCGTCATATATCGCGCTCACTATTATCTGCCCATCATTATCACTACTCTCATTTATTATCGCTTATAATCAAAAGAAAAAAATCGTTTGGAAATCACGATTAACAGATACTTAACAGATACATAACAGATGGACTAGTTGTGTGCAATGATTTTAAAGGAATCAAATTGAATGTATAACGTTATAAATAGTTACACAATGATTGCATAATTTTATTTCATAATTTTACAATTCTACATCAAATCGGATAATCTGATAAAGAATGGGGAAAATTTTTTTACAAAATATTATTCATTTATTACTGTTAGAATTTATTAATAATGGTATTTTGTATAACTTACGATAACATTACTTTTTTTCTATATTGCTATTTGCTATAAACTAAAAATTATGGTATCATTTTGATTTGGAAATTTTTCTTTTATAGTTCCTCTATAGTCGAAAAAATTATTTCAAAGAGAAAACTTGTTTTTGAATCTTTGAAATTTTTCAATAGAATTTCATTTTTTTAATTTCTATCCTCGTTTAAAATCTTTTAAAATCTTTTGAAATATCTATAATTATAAATTAATGATTTATATACACGAATTGTTTCGTTCATGTTACAGTTGAACAGGAAAGAATTTTAACTTTCATGAAATTTTTTTTCAAGTTTTCTTTTACGACTTTTCTTTCTTCGAAATTTAAATCTGAATCGCACTTAAAATTGAATAGAGATATAAATAAATTGCTCGAAACTTCATCGTCGTATTTCTTCTCATTTAATTCCGTTCACTCTTTGCACATTGAATTTTCAAAGGAAAGAGAAGGAGGTCGTAGAGATGAAAAATGTTCATCAACTTACCGTCTCGATTCACGATATTTCCTCTGGGATTTATAAAATATCTCGAACTGTGTTTCGATGTATCAATTCGTTATTGGAAAGGTGCGAGTGATAAATATTTATATAATATATGTACATGTAAATATAACATTTTTTATTATTAAAATTAAATTTCAAATTAATTAATAATTCAAAAAATATATCAATCAACTGAATCGTGCACTATGATATATACGTTTTTTTTTGTTCTTTGATATCTATCAATATCGATATCATGATATGTTGATCACCGTTTCAGTTGCATCGAATAACATGTTTACCATTTTTGTCCTTCGTGTGTCCCTGTTTCGAAGAAACCTCAATCTCATGGTGTGGTATAGTTAATTATTAGATATTGGATTGCAAGATTTTTTTTTATTATTATATTTTTTATACAGTCTAATATCTAGTATAAATATGCAAAAAATAAACAAGTTTTATTATTTTTATTTTTTTTCTTTTTACAAGTGATACGAATTTTTCCCTCATTATTTTAAAATAATCTAAAATTTAATATTTGATCTTAATATTTGTTCAAATCTCGAACATATTTACCATCGTCGCTTCATTATTTCGATCAATTCTAATAAATCTATCAATAAACAATATTTAAGCGTTCTTTCAACTCTTCAATTAATTAATCCTTTTAAAAAGCCACAAATCGTCTAAATCAACGTTATCATTCAATCGTATTTCATATCGTTGATAATTCGATCGCGATACGAAAATCTTTCCTCATGTTTCTTGTAAGAAATCATTGATCATGATAAACTCGTCTTTATTAATCTTTCTGCATATTTTAAAACTTTGTATAATTATTATATAATTATGAAGTATAAACCAATTCTATTTTATATTTTATATTTTAATTTGCCCCAAAATTTCAATTTTCCCAAAAACTGTATTTTCTTAATTTTCATATAATACGTTTTAAATATAGTAAAAATTTTCACTTAATGTCAAGCTGAAAAAAAATCCCAAATAAAAACTTATTACCATAATTATATCACATATTTATAATTTTTAAGATTACAATATTTAAACGACAAATCTAATTTTCGTCGCAAATTTGAATAGAACCTCTCGATACGATAGGATATCATAATGGAAAGGGGCGATATGACAATTAGCCGAGGCAAACATCATGTTGCCATAGAACGGCCATTATTACGACGGACGATAATTCTGATGGATGATGATCGCGCAAACCCTCGTTATTCAGCAATTATAAATCGAATCGGTGGCACGTGGGCCAACAACGATACATTATCAACGTCGATCTAGGTTCGTCGAGTTACCACAGGAATTTAATTATTCGAACAAAGCCTGTTGGCGTGGATAGAACCCACTTCCGGTTATCGGCGAAGATTAATAGGAAGACGTAATTCGAATCATGGCTAATTTCAGAGAACCACAACCGCCTTAAAGAAGAAGAAAGATATAAAATTTTTTAAATTCTCCAGAGATGATTATTAATTATTATGAATTAAATTACTTTCATTAGTGGACGTTTTATTAGCAACAAGACGAATAAAAATACGCGATAACGGGAATATTTTAATGAAGTTATAATATAATATAATGGAATTATAATATAATTGTAATTACCCTTTGAAAATAAAACGTGCAAACAAAAGCAATTAAATCGATTTATCAAACAGCTCGATTTGATTTCATCGCATAGAAAATGCTTACCTCAACTTCGAATTACCGTTATCGGGTTCTCAAGATATTTCAGGGTCATCATAAATCACGAATCTACGTCGAATCATGCATGATTCTACGTATCTAATTATCCAACAGTTATTTTGTCTTCTTCAATCATATTTTCGAAAGAGAGATAAATCGAAAAAATAAATTTTATAATAAATTAAGATGCATTGATTCAAGTGATCATTCATTTTATTAAAATTGTAAAAAATTCTAATTAACGAGGAACAAATATTTACTGTAAACGGTGAACGTCGACTCGTAGATATATATAACACGATAAATCAATCGGTTGACAACGAAACTTTATCTTCGTTTGGAATTCGTTAAAAGAACGGGAAAGCAGTATCGTCAATAAATCACTGTTTGATCCCAAGTGATAACAAACATTCACGTCCACCGTTTGTAATCTTTATCTAAACGATGATACGGAAAGAAAAGAAGCTTTAAGCGAAGGCTTAAGAGTAAACGTTCGAGATTTTATCAGATTTTCCTTCCGAGATTAAACATTTATCCGTGATTATACTTTTACTTATAGGTGTACGGTAACTTCTCCGATATGTAACAGAGATATAAATTAAAATACTCACTATTGACGTCGATCGATGAAGAGACATTCTGGATCAATTTTTATTTATTACCTTTTTAAGAACTTTAGGCGATCAAGCATCAAGAGGTAATTATTATCTATTATTTATAATATTTCTTAATGGGATAAAACTTTTCATATGGATATGTTGTAACGACAGGCAAAAGTGCGGATACAAGCGTGATAAGATAAGATGTATATAAATATAAACACGATATATAAAAAAGAAAGATAGATAATAAAGTCATAAAGTATACAGAGAATATAATAAAGTGAAACGTGTTGAAATAATATTTCGCATGTAGGTCAGAATCTGAAATCCTTAAGGATTTTATTATTTAGCTACAGCTCTTGATGTATCTTATCAAACATTAACGAATGTAGCACGAAATTTACTAGATGTTATTTCAGGAAGTAACTTGCCTTACAAAGTGTTATTGAAATTTTCACGAGGATTGTAATCCATCCGTAAATTTTCAAAGTATCTAAGAGTAACTATTATAACAATCATTCGATATTAGACAGATATTTTCTAATATTTATTAGAAAAAACCAAAATTATATCTAATCGCTATAATTATTTCATAAGATTCTTTTTTTCAGGTTCAGATTATTTCCGTAAATCGTCCTGTCCATCCTGAATCGATGAAAAATAATACATCATCTTAGAACGATTGATTTATAGATCAATGATATTTATTCAATAGCCACAAAAAAAAAAGGTACGATTTATTTCTCATTATCTCATCATAATCTCTTTTCACTTTCTGATTTTTCTTTTATCTTTTTAGATCCTTCTGCAATTAATTATATCTGTGGACAATATCCATGGTCTGGTTGGGAAAGAAAAATATATCAGAATAACTTTATATTCAATTATAGTTATGGAATTAAGACTTAGAAAAATTGCCATATTCGGAGAAATATAATTCTATCATGAAAGATTTCAGCTATAGATCCCAATCTATCAAGGATGATAGATTTCAGTCATAAAAAAACACTCCAAAATCAAAATTAGAAGTTCCAACAATAAAACGGAAAATAAAAGAACAAAACAATAGAAAGAAAGAAGCAATGTCATGAAGAAAAATTAATATTACGAAAATATAAAGATTTCAATATTTTCAGATGGAAAAAAATGAAGAAAACGAAGAAAATGAAATGAGAGCTACAAAGTTTTAATATGAAAATACGGAATACTTGTTTGTATATATATGTAAATATATACAGGCTATTTATGCAATTTATGGTGCATATATACTATATATATTCGAAATTAAAGATTGTTGTCTCATTTATAAACTTTTAGGTGATTAAAATTTTTGAAATGAAACGAGTAATACTAGATCGATATTGTTAATAATTAGCCTCGACCGGATTTTATGCCGAATATTGTAAAAAAAAAATTCTAAAAATTGATTTCTAGGTGAACTAAGTAATATTATTTTCCTTATTACTCGTTATAAAATATACTACGAATCATTCAATCGAGAAAATCACAAAAATCGGATAGGAGAATCGCAATAAAATATTTAAACAAGTAATAACTTTCTTTATAAAAAAAGATAATTCCAAATCGATTAAATTAACAATTAATGAAAGCATTCGATCGATCTATTATATATCTACGCGTATTTCGAAACATACACAATACAATTTTCCTTGTTACCTTTCGAATTTTTCTCCAAAAGCGATATCCGTTCATCCTCCCGTTAATCTTTCAATATTCTCCTCCTCTCATCGTTATTATTTTCGATTTCAACGAGAAAGAAAAAAAAAAAAAACGATGGAATAATCGAAATCGACGGATCGTAACAGTCTGCCAGAAATTCATCGCCTCCAGATTTATTGTTATCGAACGGTTGACCGGTTTTTATTGCCTTGTTGCACGTTTCTAGGAAAGACTGTGTTATTTCGTGGATCGACCTAATTCTCGTCTAATCGATCGCGTGTCGTAAGAAGGTAACGAGAAATCAAAATAGAAGGGAGGAGAGAAAGAGAACAATGAAGGAAGCAGCGTGTGGTCCAGGAAAAAAAGTTAATTAATTAAAAGTTAGACGAGGGAACGAGGATACGATTGACGAGATTGAACGTCCCCTGGAAAAAGATTTCTGTATCGAATTACATGGTTCTGAAAAGAAATTAGTGGACGTTTCTACGGGAAACATGATAAACTTTTGTTCTGTCGCGACTATTGGTGAAGAAAATTTTTAAAAATTGGAATGGAAATCCACGGTCTGGATAAATAATAAAAAATATGTAGCAAGGAAATTTTAATGAAACGAACGGATTGAATATTTTATTCTCTCTCTGATAAAGATTTCATCGGATCAATAAACGTAGAGATTTCATAAGTCGAACAAATAGTAATTTACTTTCGTTTTGTCACGACTACTCGTGAGACAACTCATCTAAAAATAGATGAAACTCGACGGACTATAAGATAAATAATAAAAATGGCAAGAAAATCTTAATGAAGTATGTAAGACAAATATTTTATTCTTGCTCTGACAAGAATTTCATCGAGATAATCAATCGCAAAGATTTCCATGATTCATAAACTACACGAATTGTAATTTATCTCTGTCTTGTCGCTACTCTTCGTGAGGAAATTCGTCTAAAAATGATTGAGTAATTCATGAAAATAATAAATGAATAGTAGTAAAATGGCAAATACAAATGACAATAATAAATAGAAAGGAGATTTTAATGAAACGAACATACCAAACATTTTGTTCCCTTCTTACAAGGATTTCATCAAAATGACCAATCGTAGAGATTTCCAAATTTCCAAGAGAATTTCTCGGAACGAGTTATCTCGCCATTTCCTGTGCAAACATGACACGAGGGAGAATATTCCGACAAGTGTACCAAAATCTCGTTCGTGTGATGTACGTAGTTTTGAGAAATTGTATTCCTTTTCCTCCTGAGGATTATAAATTGTTGATCAAGCACAAGAATCATTATTAAACATTCCTTCCTCCTTGTATATCGTTTCCATTCTTTTTCAAAATTTTTCTTTTTTCTTTTTTCTTTCTTCTTTCTTTAT